GTACACAAAAAACATAAATATAAAAATAACAATCAAAATGACGGCTATAGGATCAGTCATTCCTGGAATCCGGTAATTGGTTTGAATAAACAAAAACAAAAATCTCAATCAGAAAAAGTGTATCTACACAAGATAGTGTGAGTAGGTATTGTTTACCGAGATGAGTATCAAGCGAGTTTCAATAATACAAACAAAGACGTACCAACATAGACGAATATGTCTGCCCATAATTTTATTTACCATCTACCCGCTGTTCTTCAGCTTACCTATGATTATGGGGGTTTAAACTGAACGCATTTTTCAAAACTCGGTATGGTATGTAATTTTTTCTTTTTTCGCATAAACTCTGTCTATTTTAGCCGCCAAGCTGCATTCTTTGTAAAATATGTTTCGACAAACGAGCATGCGGCTCACCTGATGGTAAGTGATTACCGCCGCCCATGAGCACCCGCAACACCAGGGGAATTGCAAGTACGTTGTCGGCCTTTTAAAAAGGAATAAGCTCTTTTCTTGAAGGTTTCAATATCGTATCGGTTCGGAAATACCATTGCTGGAAGGTGATTCCACAATGTGGTTGTGCGTGGCAAAAAGTTTCTAGAAAACCGCACTGTGGAAGAACGCCATTCATCAAGATGGTATTTCAGTTTCTGGCGGGTGGTACGGTGGTGAAACTCAGCAGCTGGTATTAATTACAATTATCAGAACACTCCCCGTGATATATGCGGTAGAAAATGCACAGAGATGCAATATCTCGCCGCAAAGCCAATGGGTCGAGTCTGTCACATATACGTAGATCACCAATAATTCTGGCTGCTCGGTTCTGAATGCGGTCAAATGGAAGTTGCTGGTATTGTGGTGCTGCCCAGAGATGAGAACAGTATTCCATATGCGGCCGGATCTGCGCCTTGTATAATTGCAAGCGATGGGCCGCCGTGAAATACCGTCTCACTCTACTATAGCTTTTTTGAGGCTATTTTAGCCTTGTCCTCCAAATGACCGCAAAACTGAACGTCACTGGATATATCAACGCCAAGGACTTCGATATTTAGCTTCACATCAAGGAGAGTGTCTTGAAACTGAGGAGATACGATAAATGGATTCTTTTTAGCGGTAATTTTTGTAAAATATGTTTCGATTGAAAGGTGATAAGTCAGTGAAATTACAAATACATTATCTATGTATTTTTTTTTATTGGGTTGTTTGGGCTATTGTCAGATGTTTGTAGCACCTGTAGCACTGCGACCTACATAGATCTATTGTGCTCGCCCTTTTTCAAAGTTCGCTACCTAGACCCGTCAGGGACAAGAATTGAAGGATATTCTTAGGAGCGATGGTTTTTATCTCTATAAGTTATCTATGTAAGTAATTTGATTACTTACTCCGAAAAGTGTGTGAATTGCAACATAAGTGTGGCAATCCATAATGGCAACGTAAGGCATACTACGGGCATCATGCGATGACATCGGTTTCAGTTAAATCGAAAAATGGCAGTATTCAAAATGTACATTTGTAATGTAGGTACATTTTTTTTACAAGACAAGCATTTAAAGTTTTTAAATTTATCTAATTTATTTTTTCCTTTAAACTTTTTAAATTTACACAGTAGTATTATATATAATTTTAAAAGTATTTAGATAATGATTAAGACGGCGTAGTTAATTTAATTGACTTATATAAAAGGAGGCAATTCTAGCTTCTAATTTTGAAAAATAACATTTTCTCTATTTAATATACGACATCAATATGTCGTCCTGTATTGTCCGTGATATTATTTATGTAGGCGTGAGCTGCAGTTGCCACTTACCATCGTGTGATCTGTCAGTTTGTTTACCATTTCAATAATATGACAAATGGAAAATTAACATTAATGATGAAACACTTTAATACAAATTTCGGATATAGTAACGCCATCTATCAGATTGCACGCGAACTGTTTGGTACAAAACGTCTGTGATTGGTCGACGATGACGTTGCCGTCACCTTGAAAGTAGAGATGGATATAGCGAAAAGTGTGTGAGTGCGAGCGAAATAGAACAACAACAAACTCCGTATCCATCGATTCGGAGGTCATCCAGTGCGCATGTCAAGTGCACTTCGATAAAAATAAATTGAGAGTTTCGTGCTTCGTTCTAGTGTGGCGTCGATCGTACTTTATTCAAGACTAGCTGAGCCTGCGACTTCGTGTCTATTTAACTGTTTGTAAACCAATTGAAGTAAATCAAACACTAAATTTTAAGGGAAACTTACCACAATACATTAGTGTTTGTACAGACCGCACCTACATCAGTTAAGCCGTTTCTGAGATTAACCCGCCCAAATGCACAAGGCAAACAACAAAAATTCTGTTCTAGTTTTACGTTATATTCCGTTAATAAAATCCTCCTATTATACTTTTTCTCTGGACCTACGTAAAATTATCTTTCATATGCTACATATTATAATAATACTTAATAGTAATAGTAACCGTAGATAATTCACATAGCGGTATCTTGTCATCTAGTCCCAAGCTAAGCTAAGCTTGTGTTATGGGTACTGAACAACGGATATAAATATCTACTTAAATACTTTTTTAAAATACATAATTAAGGTACACAGAAAATACCTTAACCAATACAAACAAATATACAGATGAATACAAATGTTTGCACCATGCGAGGAATCGAACCCGAGACCATCGAAGGTAAGGCGATGTGCCTAACCGCTGGATCACCGAGGCTGTCTACATAGCGAGCAGTTACAGTTATTATATAATAGCCTTGTTGCCACCTATAAAATAAGTGATAAAAAAATAAAGAATATACCTATGTGAAGCAAGTAGCTAATAAATATACTTAGGAGTTCGCTCCACCTGTCAGACTCTTATGTAACACTGGCAAAGATCCCAGAGGATCGAAATGGAACAGGATACCAAATGCACCTGACCCCAAATGCGAACGTAAAGATAAAAAGATAAGACACTAGTTATTACCCTCGACATCATCCGGTTTTTTTTCGAGATTATAAATGGTTTATATCCGTCCGTATGATACAATCTTTTTTCACGTCATATTCAGTTATAAGATTGTCACAGTTTGTACAGTTGTTTAGTTGTGAAAAAATAAAAATCCAGATATAAAGAGATACATTTATTACAATATTAGCTCCGCCTGCGGTTTCACCCGCGTTAAATTTCAATATGAAATATAGCCTATGTGTTATTCTGATGCATAAGCTAAATTGCCACAAAATTTCATCAAAATCCGTTCAGTAGTTTTTGTGTGAAAGAGTAACAAACATCCATACTTATAAACTTTCGCGTTTATAATATTGTTCAGATTACTAGCTATTACCCGCGTCTTCGTGTGCTTTTTTGTGTCTATACCAATTCTAGTTACTATCTATTTTCTCATCTTTCATTATAATTGTTTCAACTATGTAATCTTGAGAAGAAAGACAGACAGACATTTTCGTATTTATAATATTAGCATACATATCGTACTATCTCTAGCGAAACTAAAGCTTTGTCCTCGCATCAATTATTATTGGATCGGTATTCAGTTACTCACTATATTGGCTCCCAAAGCGGCGCGGATTCCAATTAATTGGCCAGACATGCCTGATAACACAATGTAAAGATAGGTCACATTCATCGAACATTGTGTTCGAGTCTTTACACAAACACATTTAACTCCCTGTTGATATGCAACAATCTTCATCCTTCACAATGCATCTCTTTTTTCCATGCTCACATTCAAATAAACTATCTCTTTCCTACAATTTCCACTCACCCTATAACAATGTGTTGGGTATTGATAAACTACACAATTTTCAGTTTTCAGTTACTTACTTTAAAGTCTATTTTGCTTTGTTGCTAGTTGGGAAATTGGCACACATTTTTGATGAATTAATATATATGTGTGAGTCTTTAATTGACAAACACAAGCGCACATTTCCTGCCGCTACCATGTTACAAAGTGACACTATGGGAACACTCGTAACGCTGTCCTACTCTTTCTGAATCTGCAACAGCAAGTACGAAGAGTGCAGAAATTCTCGACTGCGTTGAATTTCGAGTGAGTTTCTGTAGTACGGTAGGTACTACAACATCAACCCCATGGTTGAGGAAATTTCGATCGATCTCCGTTATAAGGTTATACACGATATGAAGTTTTCATAGATTATATTTGTTTAATATAAATAAAAAACTATATTTCTTTGTTTACTAAATTATTTTACTGATTTGTTTTGCAAAACTCTTAGGTCAACAGTGTTATCCATCAACAGAGATATCATTTGAAACTATATTGTATTGCTTGGTTAAGCTTAATATAAGATCATAAGAAGAATTAAGCTTCACATTAAGTGATATACATTAAATTTCCAGTTATAAGAATGAATTTCATAGTAAAAAAAACATATGAACTTTGAATAAACTTAGAATGACAGATTCATGCCAAATCCTCTGGTATGTTACATGGTTTTTATATATAAATATAAAATTTATACATATTAGTAGGTACTATGTCAAGTAAGATTGTAATAACCAATATAAATAATGATAATGTGTGATGATATGATGATATATATATGAATCGGTAATTCAAACAAATCTCTTAAAAATTTTAGTGAATCTGAATTATTTTACCAATCAATTTCAATAAATTAGAATAACATTATCAATATGCTTATCTATTAGGCATGCCACGAAAAATCCGATTAAAATATTTAGTTTGTTGTTGAGATGAAATATCTAACATAGCGAAAGTATTAATAAAGAAAAATCGCGAGATAAGGCATGGAAATTCAAATCTCATGTGCATTACGATACCACCCCCACATAGAAAACCAGTCATTCACTACACACACTTCGACGCACCCTAGCTACAGTACACTGGGGACATGTTCCTACTACGCTGAACTTTGCACACAGATATACAAAAACACGGGATATTAAACCTTAAAGCTATGGTGTATTTCTCAATGTGCCCTACATTTACCGATCTGTGAGATAACCTCAAAATTTGAGTTTTTGACCTGAACACATCATGTTACCGAGTGTAAAATGTTTCTCTATCGCTTTAGGGTATAAACAGTGCTAATTTCGATGTTTATTCGAGTTAAAATCGTGTGATTATCGAGTAGTGACGAGTGTACGAGTGCGTGTCGAGTTTCGGGCGGTTTTCGTATTGGATTGTCATTTTTCGTGCTTGTATCTCGCTCTCAGTGATGTGGTACGTAGTACAATTGAAGGCAATAGTTGTTGATTTATGATAGTTTGTGATTACAAATTAATGAATAGCTACATGTGAAGGAGCCTGAGAGAAATGAGCGTAAGTATATTAATATTTGTAAAGTATTCATGTTGTAGCTAACTTTCGCAAGTTAATTACATTAGTGTGTAATTAAGTTGATAAACAATTTGCAAAGTTATTATATTTCAAAAGTTAACTTCATATTCTTTTACTAATAATGTTAATAGATTTACAATCAAATAATGCAGTTATATCTAATAACAATCTTTTGAATTTATAGTTTATCGACTAGGTATTATTAATAAGTATAGTGAAAATATTATTTATCTAAAACTCTACTATTTGGAATGTAATTGTATGAATAGAGTAAAATATGTAACGTAAATATCAATGTCATTACGCAACAAGTCTGCTTTGTGCATTTTCTCTAAAAACGGATACGGTATTATCAACTGTACCTAACTATTTAATATAAATATATATATACTCAAGAACGATAAGTAATCAGTGTTTTATGACTATTTTACATTTGATTGCAATAATACGTTCATTTTTTGCAATATTATTTTAACTGTAGTATATTTTAACATCTAAGATATGTAACATGTAGAGTACTATATAATAGTACTCTACATCTACCTATAATTGTCACATTCTTGTGTGACAATTGTAGGTAGATATTAAAAAATAATATATCATAGAAATTTTAATTTAAACCTTAAACATTTTATCAGAGATCGTCATTAAAATGTCGTCAAATCAACATTATTGTCTATTTTGAATTTTAATGAATGGCTTCAAAATCGAACTATAATTTGTACTTAGTTAAATACCTATATAAAGCACCAAATAAAAAAAATACTAATGATAACGTAATTAAGAAAAACGACATAACTTATGCATTTTAGCTTATTATGTTGGTATTTGTTTTATTTTTTTTATACACTACTATGGTGGCATCACTGACGATACATCAAAACTCCGTCATAGCACTAGTTTGCTTTCCTTGTTATTTTATTATGTGTTTACTAGCTGTGTCTATATGTTATTCTGATGTATATGATACATTATTGTAAAGTTTCATAAAAATCCGTTCAGTAGTTTTTGTGTGAAAGAGTAATAAACATCGATATTCACAAAATTTCGTATTTATTAAAAAAATGCTAAAACGGTATACTGCTATAAATACATAAAACCGGAGAACGTGTAACGAACAAGTTCTTTGGTTTTATTTGATGAGAGATTCACACTACCTACTATTCTACTTACCTAAAGTTGTCCTAATATTATTACTTGCAAATAGTTTCACACCCACCTTCCTCCCACGTTTTCTGTAGGTAGGTGCTATTTCAACATATAAAATTGCGATTCCGTGGGATGACTGGGCTAAATTTAATTGAATATCATTTTTTTAATATATTTGTGTCAAACAGATTATTAATGATAGGAACTATGGTGTCTCACTTTTTATTGAGAGTTTTGGTCTATGTCAGGTGTTAAAATCTGTGGCACTGCGACCTACATAACATATTGTGCTCGCTCTTTTTCAAAGTTCGCTACAATGGTTATTAATGCAATGGTTTTTATTTCCTCAAGATATAGTGTATACTTTCCAAAGGAGATGTTTCGTATATGCATGAGTGGTCTACCACCATATAGGATGTATAATGGCGTTTCCTCTTCTACTTGGCAAATGCAAACTATTGTGTATGGTGTATAGAATATGGTACATTCTATACATCATACATAACAATTCAGGACGACCTACATGCAGCTTCCCTGAAAATTCTGGTAATATCACAATGTTGGGTTACTTGACCTGACGTCATACTCGTCCTATCATCTTCTACTGGTGTCTCGCCAGTGTTTTATTAGCAAAATCAGTGGAGCACCATTACATTACCATCAATTAAAATAAGTTATTTAAAAAGCAGTAGGTTAATTTTCAACTAATCCTAAAAGTAAACTGTCATTTGAGTACATTTTTATATGTGTACATTATCCTAATAAACAATTATTGACGATATATCCCGTAAATAATATAATCAGTAGAATCAGTACAGAATCTGAACCGATTTTAATGATTCTTATTAGATACTTACAGAAGTTTTGTTCTGAGGAACAGAACTTTAATTTATGAAATTCGTGAATATAATGCAAATATATTCCTTTTAAAGTTGGATGTTTATATTACATCATCCGGGCGTACCTTTCAATTAATTATCACGGAATTTATGTAAATACATTTGTGAATAAAATGTTATTTCATCGTAAAGTTATATATTGTGGTGAAATTGTATTATCTATAGTGTTGTTTCACCCCAAAGCGGGTCGTAACAATGACGTAAGTGTTCGATATGAAGAGAGAAGGGTCGACTGTTCAAATAATAATTTGACTTGTAATGATTTATCGGCTTAGTATGTTAGGTACCTACATTAATGTCGTTAAGGGTGATTTTACGTTACGTGTTGATATGTATAGTATGATATGCTTCTAATAATATAAAGTTCTGTTACAGAATCAAAAATAAAAAATTAAAGATATTAATTTTGTTATTTATATTTTTTTTGTATGGACGTACCTACGTTATGGTCAAAATTATAATTTTTACAATATTCTAAAGAAATAATAGATATTACACTATTGTAGTGATTATTTTACCAAATAATATTTAAAATTTTATTAGATAAATACATATTTCAATATTTTCGATAATACCAATCAATATGCGATCAATAATGACAGTTCTCAACCCCCTTAAATTATTTATCCTCCCTAGTTTTATTTCGGTAACCTTGGGCCTCAGGGAGTTGTTGTCCCAACTATTTTAACAATACACAGATTTAATATAAATTTTATGTACATTGCGTAAATCTTATTATGATACAAATATGAACGTCTTTTATATAAAAATCATATTTGATCTTAAATCTTTTTATATTTAATAACACGGTAGGTACATAGAGTCGGATTTCTTTTGTCTGGGTATTGTTATTTTAAAATACTTTTAGAATGCATCATGGGCTATTGGATTTTTCTTGTATGGATGATGATGGATATAACTGTGTACTCGCCTGCGCTAATAGTATACACTGACGGGGCATCAGAGGAAGATTGGGTGAGCATGATGTCAGATCAGTTAGCCTATCGTGACAAATTCACCAGGAATGAAGTAACATGATTTCCAGGGGTAAACAATTTTTTTTACTATATGCCTAATAATTTTTATAGTCATTTATATAAATTTTCACCGTTATCAATCCCTATTTATTAAATGCTGAAACAACGTTTGCCCGGTTAGCTAATGTTAGTATAAACGTAGCGATACAAGTCATTCCATTAGACTAATGAATTATAAGCCTGTTCGCACATACTAGGCCAACATTAATTAAAAGTGCAATAATATCAACAAGAGTTCGCAACGAAATCAATAAAGTTAAATGGGCTTAATAACGAAGGGGATGAAAGGGCGGCGGTGTCCCCTAGGCCTGGGTGGTGTAACACCAGTTGAATGCGAGGCGACATTGACCCAATTCACAGGAAGGACGGAAATAACCTTCTTGCAATGCAAAATCCCATTTACTTTTTACTTTGTATGCATATTAGATGTATGATAGATTTCTTTAGCATTTTTATGAGATTCGTGTGTTATATAAATGAGATTTTATCATTGTGCACAATAAAAAAAGATGCTATAAGTATTTTTTATTTCTTCGGAGAAGAATACAGTATCGCATATATATATATATATATATATATATTATATACCAAACGATTTATATAAATTTATACCTTTACATTGTTTTCGCATATATAAAACGAGAAAGCTTGTTAATTTTAGTTGCGAAGGACACTAATATGTACAATAAAATTCTGGTTAAAAAACATGAAACAGAAGGAATAAAGAAAAATATACAAATAAACAAATTTCCATAACATTGTGTAAAAAACAAAACTGATACCATTCATTACGGTTATAGAATTAGTAGGTGTGAGGTCAATAATGATTCATTTTTATGTTTTTTTTTTTACTGACAGCGTAGATGAATTTGGTTTATGGACCATGGACTACAATTATTTCAATAGCTACATATATGATTATAATGAGAAGCTCGTTATTATTTATTTCCGTTAAAAAATAATATTCTCAGAGATATTTTAAATATAAACTAAACATATATTTTATGACTATTATTAGGCACATGGATACAAAATAAAAAACTTTTAAATATTTGATTATTTTCGTTTTTTAACAATCAGCTTTCAAGTTTCACCCTGTAATTTCCCTTCTGGATATTTATAAAATTTAAGATTACTAATAGCCTATATACGTCGTCTTTATACAATCCATCGACATGTCATTAACAGGCAGACAATTTTTCGCATTTTTAATATTAGTACCTATTTGTTATTTAAACCGGAAACACTGATCAAACAGTATATTTTTGATTATATTATATATATTTATTATATATATAATATATATATTTATTTATTAATATATTTTTTGATTATGCGGGAATCAAACCCACAATCCATAATAAAGATATTTATGAGCAACAAAATAAATTAGTAGTGTGTGACTGTTGAATAGAATTAAATCTTTATAGACTCGTAACATTGATACTATATTCGATTTAACTAATGTTTATTGTTGTTTTATGAGCGGATACAGATATTTTTCATTGCTTTTTTGCACATAAAATTTTACTATTCAGATATTTGCAGTGTTCGTAAAGTTTTGTTCATATTTAGGTAGGTGTAGCAACTTAATACTTCATAAATTGTGAAATCTAGACTATAAAAGATAAATTTTAATTTATATAATGTCACTAATGAACAAATAATTAAATTAATAACCGGACTCGGTGGTCTACCAGTTTAGCAAACTTATTTCCCGTGGTCGCAAGTTCGATTATTCAAACTGTATAAACAATTGTATTCATAAATGCCCCATGGTGTTAAGTCCACTGAATGTACTTTACGTACTACCATTTGTATTGTGTGTGATTAAAAAAATATATGTACTTGTTTGTAAAAAAATATTTATGTTTAAGTATTTTTATAAGTTGTTTAG